AAATGTGACATCCCTTGAAGTAGAGGCTTCTGATGTGTATGAATGACCCGCCTGACTTGGAAATGTGACGTCCCTTGAAGTAGAGGCTTCTGATGTGTATGATTGACTCGCAGGACCCGGAAATGTGAGTTGATGATTTTGACACTGATGTTTCATATGCATCTGAAAGAATGTCCTTTGGAGCGTACGTTTTCAATGTCTTACTTGTGGTTTCTTTATCCAAAGACTCTTGTCCTTCCTGTTTAACAAAAGACTCGCAAAGAAACTCACTATTGCTCTTTGCAGGACTTACAGTAAACTTGTACAGATTACACATTAGAGATTTCTCTAAACATAACACGTATTTTTCCTCCAAACCTAAGAGCTGTTCGGCAGATTTCTGAGTGAACTGTTCAGCCATATCATTAAACATGACTATCTTCTTTTCATTGTTCTTTTCTTGCGAAATTTGTAGAAGTAACCGAACTCCTGTTGTTGCTACAAAATAGTCACATTCACACTTGTTACACCTGTAAAGACCATTAGCTAAACATATCACTCTCGATCTGCAATTCACTTTTGCACATCTTTCATACGTGCATTGTTTCAAATTCATTCCCAACACAGAGCAAAGAATTTTTTGACGCCCATCGTCTTTGTTGAGTGTAAATACTGTTTTCTCTCTAGGAGCACTCTTTCCTGGTGGCAGATCAATGTTTGGACTGTTAGGTCCTGGCAAATATTGTGTATAATCTCTGTCAGAGGGATTTACTGTCCTTATGCCAGTACTTCCTTGCAAACATCTCAACATTCCATATATTCTGAGTTCTATATTTTCTAGCAGCAGGATGTCATTAATTGAGAAATTGCAATTCTTGATCTCATTTCCCATTAAGGATAACTGGATTGTTCCAGAATTGTCTTGTAGTCTCACTTTCACAATATCTACCCCTGTTGATCCTAATCGCTCTGCATTTGGTATGGACAAAACCTTTCCGACTACACTGACTTTTTGCTGGTTTTCTTTTGATGCTAACTCGGCGATTGGTGTAACATCAACAGGTGATATCAAAGGTTCAGATTCAACCTGTTCTATTTCTGAGTTTTTGTCTAAAATGATCTGACAGATATGCTTTGTCCTAGAGTAGCTCTCCTTCGCAAATACCGATTTTGCTTTACAAATTTTGTACGTGCAGTTCTCTTTCAAAATAGCATCAAATTTCATTGCCCCTTCTGTCCAACACACAAAGTCAATGCTTCCACTTTTGTCCATTAAAATCCCAGTCAGGATCTTTCCACTTGATTTATTCCTAGTCCATGCTCTGACTTGAGTTCTTGTTTTGACGGTTGCCAGAAATGAAACCACACAATCATCTTTGATGTTGTTAATAGTTGTTAGGTCTTTTCCTTCCATGATGATCTGCAAAAATATAACAGGATTGAATAACTGACATTGATAAACTGTCTCATCTGAAGATATTTATTAAAAGACCTGATATGCCAAAATCAAATCAAAGTAAATTCTTTAGCTGGTTATAAATACATTCTCAATATACTTTACAGTAGACCCATGGGCCTTAAACATAAGTATACAGGTGACAAAATTATACAGTAGAATATATGTAAACTATATATGCAAACAAGAGGCCCATGGGCCACATCGCTCACCTGAGCACTAAGGGTAGGAAAAAGTAGAAAATGGCTTTTTATTGTAAAGTTTAAATCAAAAAGTAGTCCCATGACCAATCATGGATTTGCTATTTTTTAGAAAATGATTTTTAATGATTTTCCCATATATATCTTTAAAAACTTTGATCGGCCATTTTGGCCCCGCCCTACCCCCGGGGGTCATGATTTAAACAAACTTGAATCTACACTACCTGAGCATGCTTCCATATAAATATGATGAATTATGGCTTTGTCATTCTTGAGAAGATATTTAAAGAATTTTCCTATATATTTCTATGTAAAATTTGGTCGGCCATTTTGGCCCCGCCCTACCCCTGGGATTCGTGATTTGAACAAACTTGAATCTACACTACCTGAGCATGCTTCCATATAAATATGATGAATTATGGCTTTGTCATTCTTAAGAAGAAGATTTTTAAAGAATTTTCCTATATTTCCATGTAAAACTTTGGTCAGCCATTTTGGCCCCACCCTACCCCTGGGGGTCATGATTTGAACAAACTTGAATCTACACTACCTGAGCATGCTTCCATATAAATATGATGAATTATGGCTTTGTCATTCTTGGGAAGATTTTTGAAGAATTTTCCTATATATTTCTATGTAAAATTTGGTCGGCCATTTTGGCCCCGCCCTACCCCTGGGGTTCATGATTTGAACAAACTTGAATCTACACTACCTGAGCATGCTTCCATATGATGAATTATGGCTTTGTCATTCTTAAGAAGAAGATTTTTAAAGAATTTTCCTATATATTTCTTTGTAAAACTTTGGTCAGCCATTTTGGCCCCACCCTATCCCGGGGGTCATGATTTGAACAAACTTGAATCTACACTACCTGAGCATGCTTCCATATAAATATGATGAATTATGGCTTTGTCATTCTTAAGAAGAAGATTTTTAAAGAATTTTCCTATATATTTCTTTGTAAAACTTTGGTCTGCCATTTTGGCCCCGCCCTACCCCATGGGTCATGATTTGAACAAACTTGAATCTATACTACCTGAGCATGCTTCCATATAAATATGATGAATTATGGCTTTGTCATTCTTGAGAAGAAGATTTTTAAAGAATTTTCCTATATATTTCTTTGTAAAACTTTGGTCGGCAATTTTGGCCCCGCCCTACCCCTTGGGGTCATGATTTGAACAAACTTGAATCTACACTACCTGAGCATGCTTCCATATAAATATGATGAATTATGGCTTTGTCATTCTTGAAAAGATTTTTGAAGAATTTTCCTATATATTTCTATGTAAAACTTTGGTCGGCCATTTTGGACCAGCCCTACCCCAGGGGTCATGATTTGAACAAAATTGAATCTACACTACCTGAGGATGTTTCCCCATAAGTTTCATCTTTTCTGGCACAGTGGTTCTTGAGAAGAAGATTTTTAAAATATGCCACCAAATTTTCATTAATTCCCAATTATCTCCCCTTGAATGAAGGCGTGGCCCTTCATTTGAACAAACCTGAATCCCCTTCACCCAAGGATACTTTGTGGCAAGTTTGGTTGAAATTGGCCCCGCAGTTCTTGAGAAGAAGTCGAAAATGTGAAAAGTTTACAGACACACGACAGACAGACGGTATAGCTGAATTGAATTTCAAAAATATAGGATCATGATCATCATGACAGAAGTCCACTGCATGTGGTATCATAAACATATCGTAATTTAGCAAGAAACATCGAGAAAACAAATCAGTTATATCAAACACTTTGATGATTACCATTGACAAGCATTTGACAAGTCGTACCAATAATGTAACCCAAGAAGAATGTAGACTGGCAATTCATAATAATACATTACATAGCAAGTTTACGCAAATAACGGGTACGACAGAAGAAATAGCAAGTAATCATCATTAATGAAAGGAAATTCACATGCTCTTCAGGCATGTAATTTGAGAATTTTCACATGCCCGCTGGTAAATTTACCAGGTCCTAGGCATCAGGCACCCAGGTTATTTCAAAGACTGTATGTTAAAATTTGGTTGCTGGAAAAGGTAACTAAATTACCTTGCCCTACAGATGACGCCTAAGGGAAATAACTCCAATGCAAAATATGCCATGGGAAAAGGGTCTATCTTCACAAATCTGGATGATTCATTTATCAATATTTCATTCAAAACTGGGTGTGAAATCCATATTAATGAGGCAACACTGAAAATTAGAGACACCAAGAAATAAAAAAATATACTTACACTCTTAATAAACAGCCTCCAGTGGATTTAATGCGTCTTTTTTTCCATTGACATCATGATATACATTTATAACTCGTTTTAACGTGCAACTTAGACATGTTTACTTGTACCACGTGAATTCTAAAATGGCACGTGCATACAATGTAGGGTTTACAATTATAATGGATAAAAGCATTTCTCTCAGAATCAAAATATCTTAACTCTCCGGTAAATTAATAATAGTTAACATTTTAGTCTGCATTCAACTTAACATGAATAAGTACAAATGTTGACGTTTTGTGTAGTATTGGGGTGCAGGAAAGGAAACTCCACAAAATCATACGTCATCGCGGCAAAATGTCAAACAAATTATCTTTCCGCAGTTCCAATACAGTTTGCACTTCAAATGGCAATAATTTTTATATATGTTATAAGTGCATTTTTTTTTGTTGAGTTTACACAAGATTTTTTTTTCTTTGAAAGCCATGAAGATACGAGAAATGATAGCATGTATCAACAAACCTGTAGGGTAGAACCCCGCGCGAATGTCGCCGAGATCCAGATTCTTCTTCATCCAATGATTATATCAATCTCCCAACTAAATTTTTGTCAGGAAAGTTGATTTTTAATTTCAAGTCCTATTTTTTTGTTTTGTTTTTCGTTTTGGTCGACTTTGTCAATGTAGCAGACCTACCAGGCTTCCCTCTTTTACCATGCTGTTTTTATGAAAACTAGACGCATGCGTGTATAGCATGGAATGTGGAATCTCGAACACGTTGCGATGTATATATTTATGTACCATAAAAAATTATTAAATTTAATGAAAAAATTAGGATTATTATACCCCCGCAAACGAAGTTTGGGGGGGTATATAGGAATCACCTTGTCCGTCTGTCTGTCTGTCCGTCTGTCTGTCTGTTCTTACGAGAGGTACATTGTGGGGTAAAATTAACGTATTTTCCAGCAGTGTGGGGTTTTTTGGGTACTGTGGGGTTAACCCCATAATGAAGAGGTCTAATTACGTTCAAAATTACTCTATGAGGTCGAAAAACCTAAAATTAGATTTAACCTCACAAAGACTTTGTCCAAGTTTTGGACATGTCCTTAGCCCAAAACGCTCAGACATTCAGAAATCTGCTGTTTAGAGGAGTTCGATAATTGAATCGAGGAGTTCCGAATACCTGAGCATGCGCATATATTTAAAACTAACTGCGCATGCGCAGATTACGGAAGTAGCTGTGTTTGGACACTTTGTATTAGCAGTGAGGAAATTCGGAAACACAAAAAGCAAATGCAGTAAGTCTTACTATTTTGTTGCACCACATTGAAAAAATGCTTTTCTAAATTGTTTGACATGCTTCATACGTACATTATGCAGTTGTAGAATTTATTTAAAGTCAAGAAAGGACATCTGTAGTCCACATAAACACATACCTATTGAAAACGGGCTTTTGTGAAAAAAAATATAATGAATGCACTGATAGTTCTTTTTTTAATCAGAGGTCTGCAATGAAAATCGACCGATACCCGGGGGTCGGGCTAGTGGTTTTCTGCATGAAGGTCGCCCCGTTGGCCAGTAAAAAAAAGATAATATTATTTATACACATGCAATACGTGCAAAGCACACCTGGTACATATTTTCACTCGTTTTTTGCTATAAAAATCCAAACCATTTAAATTTTCCATATAACATGCTCCAACTGTCAATAAATCTCCATAATTTAATCCGTATTTGAGTACTACTTGGCTTATTTACTTCAAAAAACGATCGTGTTTTTTCTTAATTCGAATTTTCTCTATATCTATGGTAAATACATGCAGATATCTCATAACATAAATACATGTGATTCTTCCGACGGGAGACAAAATCTCTGGATTTTTCACGCCTGTTCCGCCCCTCCCGATTAATTTTTAAATCTTCCGTGTTTAAATTTTTTCAAATTGAATATTTTTGGCTTTAATTTTATCCTGTTTCGTAGTATAATTGCTCTCTCTCTCTCTCTCTCTCTCTCTCTCTCTCTCTCTCTCTCTGAATTCATTCTAGATACGTACCAATTGTTTATCTACTCTTCACACATTTGTTTACATGTACTTGTAATCGTACCTTAATCTATAGAGAGAAAATCAGAATGGAAAAATGGAATTAACAATGTCACTGCAATAAATTTTCACAGCAAGTAGGCTTTGTAGGAATCAACATGGGGTTGTATAATTAGGTTGTAAAATTTAGTGGTATATCAATTTGATAAATGACAATCAATGTTTATAAATGAGTGCAGGACATTTTAATCAGTTGTTAAAATACCCATTATGTCACATTTTTTTCACATTCGCTTGTGTAATTATGTGCCCGATAATAAATTTCACCTATTAAAGAAATTAAACAAATTACTTTTAGATACGTATATAAAATTATATAACTCTGTTTGTGTTAATGGAAAAAATATAATTGTCATGTAAGATCAATTTGTACTTATTTTTCAAGATCGACGATTGAAAATTTAAAAGAATTAAATCACAATTCATAGTTTTTCCATAGCTAAACTTAAAGAAATTCAAGCTTAAAGCTACATTTTGTAATTTACAATATTAATTCATCATTACTTTGAATATTTACAGTGAGAGTATGTGACTTAGCTAATGCAGGGCTATCAGTATTTTCACACCTGTTAGATTTTGATTCCGTGTAGAAGCTCTAATTGCAATTTTTGTCAAAACAAATGTTTTGTATAGCATGATTATCTCGTGAATTTCACTATCAGGAGACGACCGATAGGGATTAGTTACGCTCTATTGCACTTGACACCTGTGTTGTGTAGAATGATTTTAAACTGCGTAAATACAAATCTTTGGTCAATTGAATAATTTTTTGTGTGTGTCTGCATGTTAGATAGAAATTCTGACAGCTTTATAAAAATAATATTAAAAATTTACCAGACTCTGAAAGCTTCAGCAAACTAGTTGATCGAGGATTAATTGAAGGGGGGGGGGGGGGGGGTTACACTGCTGATCATTACCTGAACATATGATAGTGAAGTTTTTAAATGGATTTTATTGACACTTACTAAAATAAATTTTCATACTTTTAATTCACCATTAAACTGTCTTTTAATTAAAGCTTGTGTATTTTTTCTTATTAAAAAAATAGATAGTAGTAAGGCACATGTATTTCTTCTTGAATGATACTGTAATTCAATTATCATATATTTGAATGTAACAAAAGAACACTCTGAGTTCCCGAAACTAGTCAAAAATATGTCGGACAATTGTCTTGTAAATATTCAAAATTCACCGGACAGTTGTAAAATTTAGCTGACATTAATTTTTCATATGTAAATTTAACATATTATAGGATTGGAAATTGTGTCGATATAATAAATAATATGTGTAAATAAAAAGATGGCAAATGCAGATTTAAAAAAAAAAATGATTAAAATATTTTCTATAAGGCCTGTGTATGCAGGATTTGACGTCGCCGATGGCGTGTGATGACCAACGCTTAATTCAACGTATAAAATTATTATGTCCTTTCTGACAGATTTTTAAAAAAAAATTTTAAAATAAAATCTGCAACATGACAACTCTTGGTTGATTGTTTGGAATTAGTGGGAAATATAAATATGTTGTTTTCCAGGCTTTTTTCTCTTGGATTTAGGATTTTGGTATTTTATGTGCCAGGAAAAATATTACGTAAAATATCAAACTCGTTTTAAAAAGCCTGGAAAACGTCCGATATTTCTGACTAGTTAAAATTTATTATATAACCTCCACACAGTTAAAAATATGTACTAATGATATAAAGATATGCAAATTTATCATGAAAATGATGATTTAAGTGAATTTGTTGTCGTTTTACTACATTCAAGTCAGTCCGCTATTTTTAGAAAAGGGGAAAAACGCGCATGTATTTTAAATGCTATCAAATACATTAAAAAAAATCCAGAAGTTGGTTTAATATTATCATGCTAGTAGATTAAATTATAGAGAAAATAATAATTGGTAACAAATTGTCTGTAATCAAGCAGAAATAGCAGACAACTCTTGCAACCCTGCAAATTCGTCCTTCAAAACGAAAGTAGATTGTCACATTTTTTTACTGTCAGAACTACAGAGTGCATATATTTATCAGAGGGAAAATATTTGTTTGACAGTGTTTTTAAAACTGTTTTTCCTCCCAGACTTATGGAAATTATTATTTTAATATGTAGCTTTTTATAGTAGACAATTTTACACATTTTATTTTAAACAAGATCTGGCGCGCCCCTGACGTTTTTTCATTCCTTTAGTTTTGCATTTGTTTATTGTCAGGACAATTGAATTAAATGATTTTGTTAAGATTATGTGTAATTGTTATACAGTCTGTAAAAAAAACCATCGGACATTTTGACCGATAAAATTAAGATTTTACCGGTTCCATTCAAAGTTTACGGGGACCCCTAGTGGACCGGTGCGTTTCGGGAACTCTGAACACTTATGAATGTATGAAGTTTAACTGTTTTGTAGGAACAGAAACAATACATGCACAAAACCTTAAAAATTTGGAATTCTTTAATTTGATATTTTTTAAATAAGCATGGATTAATATATATATATACACACATACAAAGGTTTTGTGAAATTGACATGTTTAATTAAATCAACTGTAGTGGTTATTGCTGTTTATTTATTGACCGACTGGCTACTTCTTGGGCAAACTGGAATAAGAGGCCACCTGGCTAGTTTCTGGACTTCCCAAAGCTTAAAACAAGTTTGACTGTACTTTTTCACCTTTTACCAATATAAGAAAGTAGTTCACAGTACATGACAACTATGCTATAAATAAATTTCGATGAATTTTAATTAGTAACTCGGAATTTTTGTGTGTGTTATAAATAAACATTTGCTTCTGTATTCCTTGGTAGAGTTCAGAAACCACTGAAAGTGAACATCAGTGGAACTTTGATGATCTAGGCCACTCTATTGTTGCAGCAACACCAGCAGGCGTCGGACATTCATAAAGTTGAAAGAACAAACCTATGACTTGAACACACAATTTGTGATCTGAATATAGTTCACAAATTTAAGGAAAGCAACTATTAAAGACATCCAGATCGGTGGTTAGTACATGTTATAAGTGCCCATAAAATCAAGACAACAATATTATTTTACAATAAATTAAAACATAACCTGTAAAAAAAATTCAACACTATCATTTAGAAATATATTTTACTGTTGTTTTTTTTTTTGACAGGTATACATGAAGTATGAGTTAAAGGCTTTTCAGAAGAACAAGCACAATCCCGATTCATTTTTGCCATTGCCTTCTCCAAACGGCGACATTCAGGACCTGACTTACTTTTCAGAAAAAGAAGATGAATCGATTTTTGAAAGTTAATCTAAAAAGATAACATTTACATGGGTCGTGGATTTGAATTACATTTTCTTGATGGGCAACTAGTTTCAAGTATTTGGATGTCTATTCTCAAGTTACTGCAAACCTTAAATTAACTTCTTGATTATTAGTTAAATGTGAGACCGTGTTAACTTGAAGTAATCATTTTTTGAATTGAGCTATGTAATCTCTGATTACTTATGTTTATGAGTAGTGTTCAGCTTTAAGACAAAAGGATCCTTTATGAACATTGCATTCGGCATGGCGAATTTCTATACATTAACAGTCATAGTTTTCGTCTTTTTTAATTAGCGATCTCATTTTAAATGTGAGAAATAATTATTAAACTGAAATGTACATTTATGTTGTTTGATTTTAATTTTTTGAAAATTATAAATCAATTGCATGTTGGTTTTTTTTTTTTTCATTTTATTTTAGGGGATGGGAGTGGGGGTGCAGCTCTAAGTTTGAGTATATTTTCCAAAAGGATGTACATTGTTATTTTTGTTTTAAGATCAATTTTAAAATGCAAAATGATGAGATATTAGACTACACTTTTTTTCTTAAAACTTCATTTTAATTAATATATTTTGTTTAAAATAAGTAGCAATAACATGCAAGTTTTAAAGTTATTTGACAACTCACTATATACTTGGTTTTTTTTTTACATCTATGAAGATTGTCTCAAATTTTGAGGTTTTTTTTCTGTGTTCTACATTTATTGACATGTTTCTTGTCTGTGTTCAACTTGTCGAGTAACTGAAAAGTTTGATTAAATTTTTTTTAAAAAAATCAGGATCATCTCTTTTATTTATTATTATTAATTTACAATGAAATTATGTATGCTTTTGATGCATAATGTACACTTCAAATTCATGCACCAGCAGATTCAAAGGAAAAATTATCATTAGAAATAAGCAGTAAAGATAAAGAGATTATCCAATTTAAAATAGTTTGAAAAATATTTAAAACAAATTTTCGAGTATGTTATCAAAATAGGAAAAAGTATTATGAGTATTGTTTGGTATTTTTAATAGTAAAAAAAGGATATGACGTACTGGCAATCGCATCATCTCACTCAGGGTCTTTCCGTCAGAGTTCGGAAAAACAACCTCGAATGTATTAACATCACCTGATGTTAAAGGTTTTGCTTTTCTTGTTTTTTTTTCAAATATAGGATAGAGGAAGTAAGAAGTCCCTTTTATAATATATTTTATGTAATATCATAGCATTGAATAAAGTTAAACTCCATATTCCACAGATAAAAGGTCTTCATGCATTTATTTCGAAGATCATGAACGGGGGGGGGTTGCCATGGCGTCTAACTAATACATTCGAGGTCGTTTGTCAGCTAGTCAGAAAGGCTCGAGAAGTTGCGATTGAACATAGTGGGGGTACTTGTTCTTTTATTACCAGTCCCTGGTAGAGTTTTTTGATATTAGAACATACTTGGGGTTTTCAAACACTTAAATTCATATGGTTACTGGTATCTGTTACATGAGAACACAGCGGGGTTGTTTGTTTAACACTCTGAGGTTACTTAGATGTCTGATATTTTCTATCAGAACATATTGTGGTTCTTGTCTAACACTTTGTGGGGTTAATGTTATCTTTTATCTATATAAGAACAAAATGGGGTTGTTACACGTTATGGGGTTAGTGTTGTCTATTATCTTTATGAGAGTACATAGTGGGGTTGTTGTCCTAACACTTTATGGGGTTAGTGTTGCCTACTATCTTTATGAGAGAACATAGTGGGGTTGCTATCCAAACACTTTATGGGGTTAATGTTGTCTGTTACCTTTATGAGAGTACATTGTGAGGTTGCTGTCCAAACACTTTATGGGGTTAGTGTTGTCTATTATCTTTATAAGAGTACTTAAAGGGGTTGTTGTCCTAACACTTTATGGGGTTAGTGTTGTCTATTATCTTTATGAGAGTACATAGTGGGGTTGCTGTCCAAACACTTTATGGGGTTAGTGTTGTCTGTTATCTTTATGAGAGTACATAGTGGGGTTGCTGTCCAAACACTTTATGGGGTTAGTGTTGTCTATTATCTTTATGAGAGTACATAGTGGGGTTGCTGTCCAAACACTTTATGGGGTTAGTGTTGTCTATTATCTTTATAACAGTACATAGTGGGGTTGCTGACCAAACACTTTATGGGGTTAGTGTTGTCTATTATCTTTATGAGAGTACATAGTGGGGTTGCTGTCCAAACGCTTAATGGGGTTAGTGTTGTCTATTATCTTTATGAGAGTACATAGTGGGGTTGCTGTCCAAACACTTTATGGGGTTAGTGTTGTCCGTTATCTTTATGAGAGTACATAGTGGGGTTGCTGTCCAAACACTTTATGGGGTTAGTGTTGTCTATTATCTTTATGAGAGTATATAGTGGGGTTGCTGTCCAAACACTTTATAGGGTAAGTGTTGTCTATTATCTTTATAACAGTACATAGTGGGGTTGCTGTCCAAACACTTTATGGGGTTAGTGTTGTCTATTATCTTTATGAGAGTACATAGTGGGGTTGCTGTCCAAACGCTTAATGGGGTTAGTGTTGTCTATTATCTTTTTAAGAGTACATACTGGGGTTGTTTGTCTTATAATTTATGGGGTTAGTGTTGTCTGTTATATCTATATAGCATAGTGGGGTTGTTTGTTTAACACTTCTGGGATATTCTTGTCTATCATCTTCATGTGAAAACATAATGGGTTAATTTAGTTTGATGCAACAGTTATCCTCAAATAAAACACATTTTTTTGCATTGTTACTGCTATGCAGTAGTTGAAAAATGTTATTGCTATATCCGTTCTAAGTTCTTCTGATAAACAGTAACAATTTTAAGTTCTTATAATTAGTTGCCTGTGAAGTTGACTTGATATTAAATAATTAATTTTTAACCCCACAAACATAGATCTTTAACCCCACAAACATAGATCTTTAACCCCACAAATATAGACCTTTAACCCCACAATATACCATTTGTTTGAATTCCTAATGAAACCTCTCAAGTCACCACTCTACTATTAATAACCCCACAAAGCAAAATGATAACCCCGCACCTTCCGTAAAATGCACAATGTACCTCTCAACTGTATAGCTGTCCGTCTGTCTGTGCAATCGTGTCCGGTCCATATCTTTCTTACAGAGGGACATTAGAATCTACTACTCCACATTAAGATTGCTCATAACCTAAGGGTGTGTCATGACCTTGAACCAAGGTCATTTGGGGAAGTTCAAGGTCACTGGAAGAAAAATTTCATAATTCGTGTCCGGTCCATATCTTTCTTATGGACAAACTTGGTAGGTTCTTATTTCACACAAAGATTGCGCATGACCCAAGGGTGTGTCATGACCTTGACCCAAGGTCATTTGGGGAAGTTCAAGGTCACTGGGAGAAAAATTTCAAAATTCATGTTTGACACATATCTTTTATGGACAAGCTTGGTAGGTTCTCATTTCACACAAAGATTGCCCATGACCCAAGGGTGTGTCATGACCTTGACCCAAGGTCATTTGGGGAAGTTCAAGGTCACTGGAAGAAAAATTTCTTAATTCATGTCCAGTCTATATCTTTCTTATGGATAAACTTGGTAGGTTTTCATTTCACATAAAGATTGCCCATGACCCAAGGGTGTGTCATGACCTTGACCCAAGGTCATTTGGGGAAGTTCAAGGTCACTGGTAGAAAAATTTAATAATTCGTGTCCGGTCCATATCTTTCTTAAGGATAAACTTGGTAGGTTTTCATTTCATACAAAGATTACCCATGACCCAAAGGTGTGTCATGACCTTGACCCAAGGTCATGTGGGGAAGTTCAAGGTCACTGGAAGAAAAATTTAATAATTCGTGTCCGGTCCATATCTTTCTTATTGATAAACTTGGTAGGTTCTTATTTCACTCAAAGATTGCCCATGACCCAAGGGTGTGTCATGACCTTGACCCAAGGTCATTTGGGGAAGTTCAAGGTCACTGGAAGAAAAATTTTATAATTCGTGTTTGATACATATCTTCATTATACAAAAACTTACTTCTGAAAAACCCAGCGGGGGGTATTTTGTCCCGATTGGACAGTTCTAGTTTACTTATGAAATTTGTAATTTTCTGAAAGTGTATACATTTATCAGTATGTAAAAAAATCAAAGTCCTATAGGAAAATTTTAACAAGTCTGTGTTTGAAGAGATGCGCCGTCTAGTCACTTTAAGTATTATAACTCAAAAAATATGCTCTTGATAACTGACCCTCCCAAACACTCACAGTGCCCTGTGATGACATATCCCCATCTTCTTTATCTAGAGAAAATCACAATGAATATAACTGTTTATTAAGATATGTTTTATCTCTCTGTGTTGGTTTCACTTTGGCTTTGAAAAGACAAATTTTATCAGTTTCCTGAAGCGGGTTAAACAATAGACTCTCTACATGTCCGTCATAAGACAATCTGTTGTCTTCAAAGGATTTGTGACTTTTTAGTTTTCGTCCATCGTAATCAGATTCATTAAATATCAAACAATTAAAAACATCAATGAGTCCGAAATCTTTAATGTTTGCAAAATCTGACTTGTACTTATCAATTTTGAAAGGACCTACATCTGGAAGGCCGGCTTTCTTCAGTTTTGATTGTATATCATTATAAACTGATTCTCTGCGAAAATCTGGTCAACAGGTAAATCCAGCTGTTTAACAGCGATTGAGATCTCCTTCAAGGTGCTTCTGTTATAACCCGACACCATCACGCCCCTTGCTCGCAAATAATCCTGTAACTCAGGTAAACGACAGGTATTTACAGTGACATTTCAATCGATAGTATGTTCTGTCAAGCGAAACTACGTTTGTTTGCCCGGTTGAACTCTTCTGTGTTTTAAGAACGATAACTCTAAATGCTTGTTCAATACAAGGGGAAGATAATTGTCAAATGGACTGTGGTCCCAAGGTTTCTATTTATGTATTCTTCATTATGCCATAAACAACTTGATGCTCTGCTTGACAACTAGTTTATTACTCCTCCAGTGAGGGTGAAACTGTAAAATTACAATGAAAACTGTGTTACAAAAACAAAAAAAGAAAATTGCTTACATTGAATAAAAGGGGGTTTACATACCAAACCCAATCCACTCACTATTCATACCAATACGCCAATTGAAGAAATTTGGTAAGGAGGGGTTTTAGGCCTAAAAAAAATAAACAAGTATCCGAAAGATCATCATCATAAAGAAGATAGCATCGCATATAATACTGTGTCTACATCATCGAAATGCACAAATATACCGCAAAGAATGTTAACATGACCGGATATAATATTTAATAATGCATTATTTCTTTGAAAATCTTCTCCTCTGATCCTAGGTATTCAACAAACTAGCCAAGTGCAAAGTTATGATGACCAAGCGTGCCTCTTCGAAAACAGTGAATTTCATGGCCTTGGATCAGGGGTTCTGGTGTTAGGGAGGGCTCTATTGATTATATAGTAAAAATACATAAATTGTTTGAAAATCTTTGTTATACCTTGATAAAGCTTTGTCAAGCTATATACCTTTATCAGGGTATTGTGCTGGACCTGTAAGTTTTGAAGTGTAAAAGAATTTTTATCTAAATGAGTTCCAGACTGTATAGAGACACCATCCAGGAGTTAGGTCTTGCTGTCACCTTCATGAAGAGAGAAGCTACACACCGCTACCTGAAGCATCTCATGGCCTTGCCCTCCTTACCTGCACCTGACATCCGTGCCGCATTCCAGACACTGAAGGAAAGATCCAATACCGAGTCCCTCCAGTCCCTTGTCCACTACATCCACCGCCAGTGGATACACCATGTCATCTTCCTTCAATCGTCCTGGACAGTCTACCAGCAGCCCTTCAGGATTAACAACGCTGTAGAAGGTGATAATTTTATAGTTTTTTTTAATCACATTATATAACATTTTGTAACATATAAAAAGTAAATATAATTTAAAGCTTTTCAGATTTTTAATTACGTAATAATTGATTTCAAGGTCTGCATGTTTTAAATCAATTTCTAAAAGTTAAATAAAGAACAAATTAAATAATAATTTATTAGGTATTTCATTATTAGGTATTAAGTATATTTATTGTTAATAAGTATTTGATATGTATTGTAAAAAAAATATTGCATTTATGAATTAAATTTTCTTTATTTAAGGTTCGCATCACGGTGTCAACGGAAAGGCTGGTCATCGCGGCTGCACCTTTTACAAACTTGTACCAGGAGGCCAGGCTGGTTGAAACCCATGTGTCCAGTGACAACTTGTTCAA